ATACAGCCTAGGCCTATTTCCCAACCCACATTGTTTTTAAAGAGCTGGTAAAGGCTTTAGAGAAACAGAAAAGCACAGTAAGATCACAAACGACAAATCTCTGTTTTCAGAGATACGAAGTTGTCCTTCCTTCCCTTCTCCCAAATCCAACAACGCAAGTTCAGCACTGCCCTTCCCAAACGAAGAGCAAAACAAGCCCTCGGTTACGAGAATTTTGCTGGTGGTTACATTGCAACTTCCTCCTCCGTCGGATCCAGATGAGCAAGAGCGCTCTGACACAGTTTGCCTTTAAAAAGCCATCCCAAAGGAGTTCTAATTGTTAGCAATAGTAAATAACCACATTCTCAGACAACACTGTTCAAAAAAAAGAACAAAGTTTACATAATCAACAATAAATGAACCATCTGTTAGCCAAGACAAAAAAATGAGACCAACCTGGTGGTAAAGCAAGATTTTCACAACTGTTGTCTTAATGTTTACGATTTTAGAGCTTAATCAGTATCCAGCTGCCAACAGAATATTTCCTCTTTCCCAGTTCTGTCAAAACTGCCTTTCAAAAATATTTTAAGTGTAGTAAGATATTAATTCTTTAAAATGGTCATCCCTCACACACAGTCTTGTAAAATAAGAGGTAAATCCTACATATACAAGCCGGAAAGGCAGGCAGTAAATGCAGGAGCAGACTCCCAGCTTTGCTTTTGTTAACAGTTATGCCTAAAGATCAAGACCTCTTTGAGCCTAAACATCCTTTACCTACAGCACAGAAAAGTTTATAACCATAAAATGACAATTAACAGACAGTATGCTTATTGGGAAGATAAATGTTTCAATGCTTTCAAGTCCAAATTACAGTACTTAGAACACTGCACTAATGGTCTTACTAAATGCCAAACACAAATCCGTTGGTTACAAACTCAGAACAGCAGCAAGAATTTGAGTAAAGCAGTTAGTGAAGCCATCTCCTACCTCATTGAAGTATGACTTCACTTCTAAATCAGTTTGTTCAACTGCATCATGTATGCAACTTCTAAACACAATAAAAGTGTCTTGTTTTTTTTTTTGTTCCTTTAAAGTCTTAGTTTTGATCTTAATTCATCACACTGCAATGAATACATGTTGACTTTTCTACATTTTGAATATCAGAAAGATGCTGCACAGTCACCTGCTTCAGCTTGCATAATACAGGACAATTTTACCCTGTAATTCACACACACTGAATCCCATAAGTGTTTCAACTCACATGTGCCTTTTATAAATTCATTTAGTTTCAAGGTAAAGGCTCAAATGATGAAGAATCTTTGTTAGCTTGTGCTGGGACAATGTGTCCCCGATTTTCATTACAATTTTACAAAGCTGATTCAATTATACAGTATTATTTAATCCCAAAGGATCCTGAAAGCACTTTACTAGCTGAATTATGCCAAAAGCTCTCTGGCTACATTCAAGGTGAAGCTTGGTAACTGTTTAACAGTTCATTTTCAGACAAATTAACTCTTCAGGCTGCCTCAGATTTCAGCAAAATAATCATCCCCACTTGCCTTTCTGCTTAATAGCATGAGCTAAAAAATAAGGCCTCAGCTGGGTTGGTGTAAGTAGGTCTGTGTGCCCCAGCCTTTTATGCTTCTTTCACCAAATTGAGCAAAGTATTTATTTCTTTGTTGCAATGCAAATTAACTGTGATACAACACAGAGCTATTCTTTCACCCTATCTTCAAGCTACACAGAGCTCTGAAACTCAAGTCTGATACCAGCACCCCTCTTCTTCTCCCCTCGCCCTCCCTATCAATACAAATGTCCAGGGATGCAACAAGGCTTTAACTACAGTGCAGCAAACATTAACACAGGTATCAAACTATCCACTGCCTTTTCCAAGAGAAAGGCAGCAAAGCCACCTATTGACATTGGAAACCTTACAAAAATTTCTGATTTCTGGCCTCTTCCCAAGCTTTATACAGATTCTGGTTGATGAAGATACATACCCCTATAATACTAAGGCCTTTTAGATAGTCCTGCCGAGGTTGAGCTTGAGGAACACAGCCTGCTAGAACCACCTTCTTGTTACCTTCTTGGGCTTTCCTAAAACAAACAAGCAAACAAACAAACAAACAGAAAGTTAATATTTTCTTTTCAAAATTCATCATTTTTTCTTCTATTTCAGAGGGCCATACTCAACACATTACGTTCCAAAATCAACTTGTAGATGTTTGAACTTCAGATACAAAATAAACTAATACAAACAAAAACCTGTGGGATAGTTTCTAGAATGAGCATTAACATTGTGTATCTTGGACAAAAGCACAGACTTGAAAGCTCAGTCAAATTCAGTTAATCTTTATTTGCCACAGTGATGGCAGAGAATCTGGTCAGAGAACATGGGACACAGACTGTAACCAAGACTCGAGAGGGCTCATAAGGAATATAAGGCATGTCCTATGCAAATAGGAACCATTAAGTCTGAACATAAGCATTTATTTAATACCAGCAATGAGCAATTACCAGTAATGAGCAATTACACAGTTTTCATTCTGTAATGATGAAATGGAGAATTTTGTTTATAAATTACAGCTGAAATTAAAAGACAATCTGATCTGCCCTTCAAGTAACATAGGAATTTTAATGTTACAGGAGACCAAAGGCCACCTAAGCATGTATTGAGAAGGAAGAGATTAAATATCTTATTATAGGAGAATGCATTATGCTTACTACATTATATCTAAGAGAAACATCCTCACAAAATTTTCGGTCTTCTTTTGATGGGAATTTTTGGAAGTCTTCAGGCATTCATCCTACAGAGGCTCACTTATCCTCTACTTGCAGGCTAAAGTATACAGTGCACATGCAAATCATTTCTTCTCTTCCTTAATAAAACTGTTATGAATAAAGAACTCTGATGAAGTGCTAATTTAGCACTTTTCTTAAGCAGCGACTGAAAACAGCACCACATTCCTCAAATCAGCAATCCTTTTTCTTTCGGTGGTGAATACTTGAGATTTTTGCAACCTATTTCTCCATAACCAACTACGAAAATCAATTTAATATATTCCCTATAATTATCACACACTGCCACACTAACTCAAAGCACAGAAGTCGCCACCTCCACTAAGAGGCTCAGCCTGATGCCCCAAGGCAAGGCAGCGAGCCCTGTCTCCAGCAAGCAGAGCACGTGTCCCCAGGCAGCGGCGCAGCTGCTATAAACCGCTCTGAGCAACAGCCTTCTCCAGCTACGTGAAAACCTGCAAGAACTACGGAGGAAAAGGCTTTTATTCAAGGCTTTTTATCTGAGGGAAAAATAAAATAAACAAACTTTCCCTTGACACATTAAATGGCATTTTAATGTTATTTCATAGCTTTAACATTTTGCTGGATCTTCTGGGATTATAACTGGAGCTAGAGGGAGGGAAAAAAAAAAAAAAAAGTTAAACTGAATATTCTTCATAATAAGTGTTGGCTTCATTTAACTTTTTTAATGTTGTACAGGTCTCTATGGAATAAAGGATTTTGTACACTGAGATTTTTCGCTTTAAACAGAAATTAAGCAGAAATGTCAGAACTAAATATTCAATCACAGTTGATTTTTATTAGCATCCATAATACAGTGTACACTTCATGAAACCCACCATAAATGAAAAACCTTTGTAAGGTTTTTTTTTTTTTTTTTTGCCTCATTTTTCAAGAAACTCCTTCTGAAAATACATACTACAGTACTATATTGTTACCTCCTTTTAATATGGTTTAATGAGTCCCGCTCAGATTAACAAAAGCCTATAAAAGTGGTTCTTCAGAAATCTAGTTAGTATAGCAACTCTATTAAAAAAGCAAAAGCTTTTATCCTTCAAAAATATGAATAGCAATGGGAATAATGCCTCACGGAAGCTAACAGTGCAATGATAAATACATCCTCCTCTTTTTTTTTTCCCATTTTTTTCCCCAATTGTATGAACCTTACCTTGAACTTCCATTTTAATTGTATCAGGACACCTTTTCTCATAAAACACTACTTTCTAAAAACGCCTTGGAAGATATACACCTGAATAGAAATTTAATTAGAGTAATTCTCTTTAAAATAAAAGAATTATTCAAGCTACCTCCTAAATAATAGTTAGGAAGAGAGAAGAAAAAAAAAGAGAGGAAAAAAAAAGGACACTTTACAGAAGGACTTTGTGGAAAAAAAAGTAGCAAGGCCATATAGGCTGCGTATGTTGCACTTGAAGAAATATTTCCCACATATTCTGCTTCTAACAACACAAACTGGAAGATACAACTTCTACTTTGCTTTTAATGGCTTCCACTTACGTTACTAAGAACCTGCCTATCCTGGAGCTTCCTGCTCAAGATTTTATGCACTGTATTTATGTATTCTTTTCTTCAAAGCTGAAGGAAGACGCGCTGGGTCGGACGGCGCGGACAAAGCAGCGCTCGGCCTGCCCCCCAAGTGCTCCCCACAACTGGGTGTCACATCCGTGCTGCAGACACGGCCGCCCTGCGGGAGATGCTTCACGGCCGCTGCCCTGCAGGGAGCTGCAAGACTTCCTCGAGACTCATCCTGCTCCTCATAGCAAGGAAAAAAAACCATGGGGACCTTTCAAAAAAGCAGGAGCAGAGAAGATGCGCTAAGCTCAGTGGAGGGCAACCACCCAAAGTGACTGATAACTTCCTTTCTGCAGAGAGGACAGATAGGAGGAGCTCACTCGTTACTGATTCCTTGCTCCTGTCTGCACACAAGATTGTCTCCTGCCATCTTAGAGCCCACGGCCTCCTAAGCAAGAGGTTCTTGGCTGTCGGGGAGCCATCACCACGACGTACCACCATACTGCAGATGCACAGGACTGCACGGTCAATATCTGAAGTTAGAACCAGTCTGTTCTACAGGGAGCAAACTACACACAGCTTCTTCATGAAACGACCCATCTCCAAACCGCTGCCCTCATACCAGTTCCATGAAACCAAGCACCACCTTACCCTGGAGCTACGTGCTGAAGCCACCATTTCGGGGCCATTAACAAAGTTAACAGGACTTGCCAATCTCCACACAACACAAACTAGAAATGGCATGGACGTGGAACCAAATAAAAACCAAACCGCAGGTTTTCTCCCCCAAAATACCTTGCTGGTAAAATTTAATAATGAAAATGATGAATAATGAACAGATGGTAGCTTGTCACCTAAGTACCAGTCAAATACAAGAGAAGAAATTTCAGTAAAAGCAAGAGATTAGCCAAAAAGAGTGCTTTGCAGTAAAATCATGAGGATTTTTCATTGATGGCAATTATAAAATATTCATCTAACAATAAAAGCAGAAAAATTTCAGTGATAACAAAGATATTTCCTCTTGGCTTTTACCTAAAAAGAAACTGGAAAGCAAGTTAATCAAACTTGATCCTACCTAGGGAGATGGCGATCGACTCTATCATAGACATTTTTGTGTCAATTAACTATTTCTATAAAACAGGGCCCCAAACACACACACACACTCACTGTTGTAGCTGAACAATTTTTAACATGTTGTCATTAAATAAAACTACACACTGCACTAGATAGTTTACTCATGTCATTCTCATGACCTACTATTACTCAAAAAAAAAAAAAAAAATCACCCCAGACCACTTCTTCTTACCGAGCATTTTAGAAAGCTGTGAAGCCATAACTTAACAGGAGGCTTGTGCCTAGAGCCCCCACTAAGAACCACTCGTATATGTGAAAAAGTTTTGCTACGGCAGCCCTGCATTTCTACAGTATGATCTGGGTATATGATGAGATCAGTCTGCCAATGGCTATGAACAGTAAAACTGCGGGGAATGCTGCTTCCCAGGCCGTAGAAATGATGTTGTGATGTCTCCGGAGGAAAACAAAAGCTACTTGGCTAAATGTTCAAACGTGTGAAAGATCATGGAACTGCCTCATCTGCTGAATTCACCTCACAAGTTTGCTCCAAAGTGCAGCATCCCTGGAATAAAACCATGACACCCGTATGGCATCTGCAAAAAATTCCTCCAAGCCCATAAAATCACAGAGATCTCTTCTGTTTAAAAGAATCACAAATGGTGACTTAGCTCATGGTTTCATGAACCTGGAGCCATTTCAATGTCTCATTACATACCCAGGGGCTATTTGCCATCGTCCTTGCCTGCTGCTATCGCTGTTCCTACCTTTCTCCATCCCCCAAGCCTCTTCCTCCTCATTTCTGCCCGTCTGCTGTCACTCCTCCTTTGCTCCAAGCTCTGCAGCTCACTGGACCCATGGCCCCATGGGACTATTGCCCCATTTAACTCACTGACATAGAAAATTATTTAGCTGAGTTTAGGGTTTTTTCTTTTTATTTCTTTTTTTATTTCCCCAGTTTTATTGGGTTAAATTAGCACACAGGAGACAGGCAGCTTTAGAGCATGAAAAAAATGGTATAGGAAAAACAGAAAAAGAGAAGGCATGGGAACTCTTCATTTCACCTGTGGTGAACATCTACTGGTTACTATCATGAATTAGAGAAATGTTACTATTTCTCAGCAGAACTGCTTGAATCTCTGTAGGTCTCTCAGCTTCCTTTTACACTTCTATGGCCCTCAAAGGATTACTACGCTTTGCTTGTGCAGCATGTGAAGACCTAAAACTCATTAGAGAAGGCTGACACTAATTATTAGAGTTTATAAAACTGTTCTTTAAGAAACAATCTCAAGAAAAGGAGCCCTCAAATTACCATGCTGCTGCCTCTGAACTTGTCTCCCCTGGCAAAAGCCATCAGCTTACATGTAAACTCTCTAAGGAAAAATAAGTTACACATTATCTCCTCCTGACAGGAGCAGGCATGTCTTGTTTTGTTGTTTGTTTGTTTGTTTGTTTTTCCCTCAAAATATTTCAAAAATACACTTAAATGCTTACTTCAAACTGAAAATTGAGGTTCTGAAAATCCATTCCAAGCAAAACAACAACAGAAAATCAACCACCATAGAGTTTTTTAGAGTAAAATGATTGTCACTCTGAGAAGAATGTCAGGTTTGACACCAAGACCGGTATGCCATGTACCAAAATATTCTCTAAGCAGCTGAGGATAGGCACCAGAGGAAGAAAAACGCATTCTTCCT